ACAGACGATTAGAGAACGGGTGAATGCCGTACGAACTAAGTCCCGGAGAGGAGAGGGACACACGAGAGAACGCAGAGGCGGTTTGAAGGGCTGAGTTCAACTATTCCGTCAACCTTCCTTCCAGCGGGCCAAATATGACCCCTGCCAACCTGTCGAGGATTCTTCAACGCACGCTTGATCCTGGTGCCTGGCGAGCGAAGAGTATGTCCCTAATGGTCTAGCAGGGCACATTCTTTTACACGGGAATACCTCCGCAGGGTATGGGCAAATCTCGATAATGGCGTAAGTCGCGCGCGCGGACAGCCGCGGCGACTTGGTTCCTGCGCGACACCGCAGTCACGATCTCGTGACCCAACACGTCACGTCCAGCGCAGATTATTAGATATCTGATCCTGTGAACTACGACACCAGCTTCGAAAAAAAAACACTATCAACCACAGATAAGGAATTCATCAAAACAACTCAACACTAATGCTGTTCATTCTTCCAATTCCCCGTGATAGATGCAGTCTTCAGTGTCTTATTTTGAATTGATGCTGGGTTCTATTCTACTTATTCAGCTCATTTTCATCAGCTATCTCATCATATCGTTTTATAAGCAGAAGCACAACTGCGCCTGGAACGATTTGTGCCAACGACAGACGGCGCTCAACCGGATCTATTTTCACGAATTGGAAATGAGTCGGTTCTGGGCAACTCCTGAAGCTGAGTAACAATTCTTTATCTAAATTGATCAGTGATCAATGAATCGATATGTACATTCTATACAGCTTATGTCAACATGTAATTCGTGTGAAATAAAACACTAGTAAGGCACCGGAGATAATCGAGCAAAAAAAGTACAGGCACTATCGCAAGTTATGGGGGCATTGTTGTGGCAGCGCATTCAGAACCACGTGAAATACCTTCTTAATCAAAATTGGACTAAGCTGGAGAAGTCATGGGTGCGTGAGCAAATTCTGTTTTCCTTGAAGTTCCTGCCCCTATTAGGCTTAGTTCTAAAGAATGATCCCGTATCTTGCGACAGCGTCGAAGTACACACTATATATGATCGTACTTATAGACTGCGGAAAAGAAGAAAGATAATTGTGAAGTAAACAATACGATTTTCACGTCAGAGAGCAACCGCTATGCGACCGCGCGCGCACTTTTCACGACTATACCTTTTGCATTATGCATGACTGCGAATGCGAAATCGGGGCATGTGTAAATGGTTATTGCGACGACGCAAGTCGTTCTAGCAGAAGTTCATAGGACCGCGATCGCATATTTGCCTAATGGATGTCAAGTGTGAATATGGCATCGTGCGATTAAGGCATAAGGACGATTAGGCGATTAGTCTATAATGAAAATATACGTGTAGATTAGGCGATTAGGCGGGATGACTACATACGTGTAGATTGATGTGCTCCGGCCATAGAGCGCTGCAGGCGAGTCGCTTAGTGGGCGGAGCAACAAATCAAGACGTATTCTTCCCTTTACGCCTTCTTGCCTAATTCGATACTCGTTGATCGCCTAGCGCACGTACGATTCGCAATTTACGAACAGTTCAATAGTGATTAGCGAGTAAGCACGAACAGGAAAGCATACGTACGACGATCTGGTTTGCTCCGGACGCGAACACGCCCAGTCCGCCTGATCAAGTAGTATCCTTTTTCCTCTACAGCCTAATCGCCCTAAGCGTAAAATGTGATACGCTGAAGTATATTAGATAAAAGTACTTGCCTTGAGACGTTGGTGGTTTACCGGTGAACTAGAATTTGGGAGCAACGCTAGCGTCTGCGCTATCATGAAATTTATCTTCCAACATTCCTCATTAATAGTTTCGCGCCTATAAGACAAAATCAGTAGTTTTAAGAAACCAACAAAACTTTTCTACTCCTTTCTGGAGAGACAAAGGCTGTTTAGCAATCTGCATAGAGTGCCCCATGCAAGATCCATGGATGTCGACGTGGTTATTCAAATGGTACAAGCAGAACATCCTTCACTACAGCGAACTGCCGCACGGCAAGGAAAAGGAACTGCGTTCAATCCCAATCTCCCCAGGGGTAATACTCCCACTATTCTCAGACCAGGTACTCACATTCAAATATAATACACTCTGAACACTTACAGACTCCAAATCACCCGTATTAGTTTGTCGCCCATATTCAATTCATTATTTTTTAACTCCACCAATTCGTTCCCTGGAATGGGAAAAAAATTGGGTCAATTATATAAGCAAAGCTTAAGAGGAAATGCAGAAGGACGCCTTCTACAGAGTCGTAAGTCCTAGTGAGTACTCTTGCCGTACCATACTGAGGTAGTAATGGCCAACGTGGCCTGATCTACCAGCTAAGGTTCTGCTTCAAATCGTGCAGCACGTCCATCACGATTTCCGACATTCATACTGAGGAAGTTCATGCTTGTTCTCGATAACTCCGAAAATATGTACCGAAGCTGCTTTCATCGCTCAGATCCAATCGCAGACGTTCTTCCACCTGAAATACGCGAAGACTTCATACGACACCCATAGCGAACTTAAAGACACATTTTGCGATCGTTTTGGGGAGGGTTTATTGTTTCCCAAAAATATTACATTTACGCGAAGGCAAGTGACCGTAGCTGTAGTACTAGGTGCCTGCAGAAGTCAGCGCCTTGTCTTTTCAAAGGGAAGCGTCCCTGTTGAAGTTCTAGTTTGTATATTATATGCTATATAATACCATTCGCGAAGGAACTCTCTGTCTAATCATAGAATAGAGCATAAATGAAGATTACGAATGATGTATCACTTGGGTCCGTATGCTATCCTCCCCTGAAGGGGTTAGGGGACGGAAATTCCTTTAAATTTTCTCTGTCTTCCCAACTGGGATTACCCTGAATAAAAGGCCTACATTAAATGTATGTATGTAGGTTAAAGTAAACATGCATTGAAAATGAAGAACGACATCGTTCAAAGCAAATGAATTCAAAGGAAACTTAAGCGTCACCTAGCTTCGAGAAGGATAGTATACGGCCCCTGAGTGTAAGTGATAAGGGTAGGGTTTCAAAAAAATAAAAAATAAACAGTTTGAATACAATATGAGCAAAAATGACATAGCGGTCAAACAATGAATCGTACACATATAAGTGCTTTCTCGACAACCTATTAGCGGAATGTTCAAAAGAACTCGCGTTCAAATAATTGGCACATCATTGCTCGATTTCGCTTTAGGGAATATAGAGCTAGGGCAAGTTGTCGGTTTGGCTAATTTTCGCCGACTTGACCTCAAATTCGCAGGCCTGCAAAGGGTTGCGGAAGGAAAACACACCATTTTGTAGGGCAGGCTAATCCCATCCAAAATATATGATTTGATTTGAAAACATGAAATCTTAGTAGAAAAATCATTGGTTGCAGGGAAGCGACACTACTAGGACAACATAACAGCTCTGCTGATCCAAGCACTTGAAGAGATTAGACAAAAATGATAGGAACCATTAGAAGCACATTTCGCGCGATGATCGCATGGGTGGAAAAGCCCTTCCCCTCTCGTCCGTCTTCTGTGAGCTACTCCTCTTCGTAGTACCAAGAAAGTGGTCAATCCATTGGATGTGCATAAATTGCTACGGGCTCTCATCCCGTCAAATTCGAGGAATTTTCTTTATTTCTGCATTACTGGTCGACCACCATCCACATCTACTTCATCTTGGGTGCAATACAGACCCCGTACCAAAAGCAGCTGTCGATGCCTTTGGCCTAAGGCATTTGAAACTACTTTGAACACGGCTTTATCCCGCTCTTCGGAAATGTTGTGGATGCCAGCATCCAACATAAGGGAGAACAGATTCAGGATGACGTTAGCATGGCGACGCAGTATGCGATAGGCCGAATCACAATGCATACAAAAGTGACGAAAGTGCTCGCTGAAAAAGGGTACCGTAATGCACATGAACTTGAACATGAAATTGTAAGCAACTTTGCGCCGAACTGAGGGGACAAGTAGCAAAATGGCCGAACAGGTCACTGAATCTTAATATGACAAGTGACTCTAAAAGCGAACCCAGCTGTTCTGGCAAATATGAATTCCCGAGATTTGGAAGCAAACTGTTAGCTGGGGTCTTCGCCAGTTTGCCAGCATCAATTCGAAGTCGTAAAAACCTCTGAAAGATACTTTATTTCCAGAACGACTTCCAGTGTAGGATCGATGACATTATTTTCATCACGTCAGCTGGGTCTCTTTCTGCCTTCCCGAACAGATTAAAACATAATGGTCAGTTCAGTCACTTTGCTACCTCTCCCCTCTTGTACACAGAAAAATGGTATCCATACGTTCAAAACTCCCACCATAGCCTTCGAGAAGTCATTTAGTTGGTTCATTAAATAGTCAGCGCTGATTCAGCTTGTGCTCCTCTCAGAGCTGAAGGAGCGATTGAATACGAAAACAGACCTGCGGTACCGAACATGCAACTCACGCGGAACAGCAAAATATGAAAGATGAGTGCCCTGCTTAAAACACTTTTACACTGAACTTAAAGGCAAAGGTCGGGCTCAGGCACGCTAGAGAAGTAATTCCCGTGCCTGGAGGTTGTATGTGGGTAGCTGCACACATTGCAGCAACTTCCACCTTGAAAAACCCCGTTAAGGCCCCGGGGCGTTCGGTTTCAATCCAGGGCCGCCTGGTCAATCCAGGACCGCCCACCTCCGGAAGTGGTGCGTGGCTGGCATAACGTGTGAAATCAGCTAGGTTGATTGCCGTATCAACCGATAGAACGACTGACATCTCCAGAAAACTTGTTTGTACGTGCCTCTTTCCCAAGCCAGCCTCCTTCACTGCTAGTGGGAAAGAGGGTTTTGTTAACGGCCTTGTCGACGGTTTTTCTCAGTTTTTTCTCCACTGTCGTTCCACTTCGCATCTCTATACTCAGTTTCAATCGCCATAATACCCCCTTATTGAGCCCGACTTTTGCCTTTAAATGGCGCCGTTACCTGTTTGTCCATTTAAGCATAAAATGTGAATAAAGTTTTCAATGCGCAGCTGCAAAAAAAAAAGAAGCGCGAAAGCATAAAAAACATCATAACATCAAAATAATACAAATAGTTGCATTTGATACTATTTCTGATCCTTCAGTGGTAGACTCTTCTAGGTCGAGAGGGGGATTTTGTCAGATTTACTCTTTGAAAAATACAATCACCTCTTGATGCCACCCATCGCTTGAAGCATTTCGTTAGTCAGCTTCATCGGTGGTGGTAGCGGCTTGGGATCGCGTCCAAGAATAAACCCAAAGTCAACATGAAATATGCGACCATTTTCACATAGTAGCAGGTTGTCTAAATGACGATCACCAACGCCCAGAACATAGCACATCACACAGTACCTGAAAGTTATTATTCAAAACTGGGAAACATATTTCGAGTAGATTTTTTCTTTTAATTTTTTATTATTTTATTATTCTTTTCTGTATGATAAAAACCTCGACATTCAGGGCAACATAGTAATTAGTAATAAAAAGTTACGAAACTCATAAAAACCTACCCAGCTAAAGACCTGACGTAATTGTCGACAACATTAGCTTCGATTCCTAGAGGACCATGTGCATCAGGGCGAGCTTCTTTCATTGCTTCCTGAAGACGTCTGTGTCAGCAGTGAACACATCACCTTCCCACAGCAATTGTTCATTAAAGGCTTGACTAAAGCATCATAATGTGACTAATACCAAACCTTTATGCTATCTGTATTATATCGCTTATAAGTGTTGATGATTTCTCGAAGCGGTTTTGCCTTAACAAACTGCACGAATCCCTCATTGACACCAGTTGACAGCACCTAAGAATAACCATTTCATTCAAAAAATTTACAAAAGCGATAGGAAGAAAAGGTGGATGAAAGACTGATTCTAAATATCCTATATCCTATAAAGATACAGCCAGCTGTTCGCGATCCTGGGAAGTACATATGGTCCAGCTTCGATGCTCGGTTAGGGGAACCTTTTTCTCCACTAGCTTCGTTGGCTGAATTAACACATTGACGACATTGAGACGCGGTAACGCGTCTCACTTTGCGCACCTCGTTGGACATTGAGACGCGTTACCGCGTCTCACCCTTATCATCCCTTTTTCTAGGGCATGCGCAGCTTTTTCCCGAATTGTTTGTCTCTCTTCTATGGATTAGAACATAACATTATTGTGAACGACATAGGTCATTGTTTGTTCAAATATGCTCCAGTTTAGAAGAAGTTTTCCAAGCTCACCGAAACCGGCGGCTTGGTTCATTAATAGTTTTCATGCTATTCTCATGAACACGTCAATAAAAAAGGGTAGTGAAAGTAAATGCAAATCTAAAGAGACAGAAAAATACATGTTTCACTTGGTATAACCACATCAAAAGAGCTTTTGGCATCCACTACAGATAAAATGACTAAAATTTCCTTTTTCATTACCATTACATGTTCTTTAATCGGAACTTCGTCACTATATACTCTATTACCTTCTACGCATTGACTGTTACTGAGATGTTTTTTGTACCACTGGTGCTTTAAAAAGTTATCAATAAAAATTCACGGATCCGAGGTGCGGCGGTCGCACTCGCAAAATCGGCCCGGTCCCACACGGCCAAAAAAGCCAAAACGCGCGCGGTCGTCAATGTGTTAAGTTATAATGCATGACCGTATAACCGAACTTTCTCTGAAAAGGCCTGAAGATCAAACATTCAATGTTACAGGTGATTTGTACAAAGGCGGATTTGGTTATTAAGTGAAGAGATGCCCCCCCGAATATATTAAACAAACATTTCGGTCAGAATAGGACTGCAGAGAGTGAAGCAAGTTTTCCCAAGTGATGAACTTACTGGCGTAAGGTCAATTTTAGGTCGAGTATCCTTCTTGAAACAGGCTGTCCATGATGGCGACCATTTTGTATATACGCTAGCTGATCTTGCCTATAAGTATTTGAGTTCAAGTTAGGTAACTTGAAGTAAGCACAATGCTGTCAAACTATGTGTGCAAAAGCAAAATTTGAAATCGCTGGAACCTGTTTTATTGCTGCTACAAGTCATTCTATTCGATTCATTCTCATATTGTCGGACTTGTCATGTTGCGCCAAAAATGCAGACAACCTATGTTACAAGCATGAACAACTAAGACAAACAATTTAGGATGACCAACTATCAAAAAAAAATAACACACTAGAACCAGATTTGCTCAACTCACCGCAGATCATCACCCTGCTTAAAAATAAGAGTGTACTCCTTATTGGTGTCCGTACCAGTTATCGTTTTGAAAGTCAATTTAACAGGCATCATGGCACTATTGAATAGTACAGCCGAGTCTGGCATCACACCGGCTAGCCTGAAAAAAAAACTGTTAAAAAGATAAATGAGCATTTGCTGTCAGTGCTATCACCCTTCAATCCTCACTTCCCAATGGCAACTTAATGATGCAGTGCAACTGCAATATTCTATTGTATATAACTGTAGAGCTTGAAATGTTTCCCTTATAGCACCATATACAGTGCGCGTCAATTTTATATGCCACCCCCTAATTTTTTCAGTTTTCCGACTTATTTGGAAATTTCGTAAATCGGCATAGCAACCATCGGTTTCGGCGTGTCGGAAAACTAGGAACGGTGTTGTTTGATTTTGGTTAACGCGTGGATTTGATTTGCTCTGTTCTTTTGAAGAAAATGGGCCGCGTCAAATTCTTATGCCATCCTAAATTTTCTTCAGAATTTCTCATGTCTCTAACGCTATTCAGCTATGGTGTGCATGTAATACAAATGAGGAAATCCTCGACTCATGCAATGCACACAAATGGTGAAGCATTTATAACTGATTAGTTCGGAATATTAGCCTTTATACTGGACGGTAGCGGCATGAAAACGCTTTATCAGAGAAACAGCTGTGTGCTCACTAGTACGATCGCTCCTGCTGCTTGTTGTAGAACTCAACGAGGAGTGTATCCAGGCAAAACTGGGGAAATTGAAGTGCTCAAGGAACTCTTAAATTCTCATTTTCCCGCTTCGAATCCGTGGTCAACTTTATTTGTGGTCTCGGCTCCCTGCGAAGCTCGAAGCGTTCACGCTCACAAAGTCTCTGTTCAGAGAGAATATGAGTTGCACTCACAATCCGCGTAGTACCCATCGCCGAACTTTGTCGGGATTCTCTCTGGAAAAATTTTCGTACCGAGCGAGCGAAAATGATGACATGGGCCAGTTGTAACTTGAACGGGACACCGAAGTGGTGGCATGGGCCATCATTGCATCGCCTTGATAAGAAAACTTCGATCGAGTTCAGTGATGGGTACCAGACGGGTAGTAGGTACGAGTCGTGTTCTCTCTAAAAAGGGACTTTGTGAGCGTGAACGCTTCGAGCTTCGCAAGGAGCCAAGACCACAAAAAAAAGTTGACCACGGATTCGAAGCGGGAAAATGAGAATTTAAGAGTTCCTTGAGCACTTCAATTTCCCCAGTTTTGCCTGGATACACTCCTCGATGAGTTCTACAACAAGCAGCAGGAGCGATCGTACTAGTGAGCACACAGCTGTTTCTCTGATAAAGCGTTTTCATGCCGCTACCGTCCAGTATAAAGGCTAATATTCCGAACTAATCAGTTATAAATGCTTCACCATTTGTGTGCATTGCATGAGTCGAGGATTTCCTCATTTGTATTACATGCACACCATAGCTGAATAGCGTTAGAGACATGAGAAATTCTGAAGAAAATTTAGGATGGCATAAGAATTTGACGCGGCCCATTTTCTTCAAAAGAACAGAGCAAATCAAATCCACGCGTTAACCAAAATCAAACAACACCGTTCCTAGTTTTCCGACACGCCGAAACCGATGGTTGCTATGCCGATTTACGAAATTTCCAAATAAGTCGGAAAACTGAAAAAATTAGGGGGTGGCATATAACAATTGACGCGCACTGTATAAATAGAATGGGAATGTTGTTAAACCCCCGTTGATCGTCTTCTGACGGTCCTGAGGGCGAGTGTCTTCAAAGGAATTGTGCTGATTCTAAAATTCTGAGAGAAGGTTAGATAATGATAGTTAAGCGGCGAAAGAAGGCAGAGGAATCAGGCAAGCATACGGTCGCACGACCTCGCCAGGCAGGGAAGCACTGAAGCTTTAGTATGCACATGGACCCTACCCAGCACCCGAGGTTACGCCCATGAATTGAGGTTATAGGCGAAATGCTCTCCCTTGTGTCCAGCTTTCTTTATCACAAGCCTATTTCCTCTCCGCCTTATCAGGCTTTGCTTCTCAAAGAGCCTCCACAAATAGAAGGACTATATTTTTAGGTTATGCGTGGTTGGCTTCATAATTTTTCACAAGTTCGCACATCTATTTTTTTTTCGAGCGCAACAATTAGCTTTGCCCTGGAGTGCGCCTTTATATACCTTGAAGAAAAATGCTAACATCAAGCCAGAGTAGTCAGTCGGTAGCCGACGGGCCTCCTGTGAGCAGCGTGCCACTGATAAAAAAGCTCGACTCTCCCAAGATATTTGGCCAAACTCTTCTACTCACCTTACACTCGGATCAAGTGGTAGATGCAGTCCACGCAGCTCTTTCATATGTCGAGCATTGTTCAACAATGTGCACAAAGCGGCTTGACGTAGATCACGACGACTATGCTTATTTGTCGCCTCTTGCATCAGAATTTTGAGATCTTCGACGAATTGCTAAATGGAATAAAGAAATTGACTAACGTAGAAGTCATGGAACATCAAAGGATCAAAGGTAATTGTAAGTATCAATATGAATATATCAAGTTGAAAAATCGGATGGAACTCGAAGGATTTTCCCAATGCTACGCGACGACACAAAGTTGAATACCAAGCCTCGCAGAAAACTTCGGTCAGCTTCACTCGCAGTTTATACCAATTCAACGCACTTGGAAGAAACATACCCTCTGCATCCTCAGACTCTCCGCCTGCCTTTTCATCTCCGGTGTACCACGTTGCAAAGTCTGCATAAGACGACTGAGTAACCGTTCGTATACCTTAACATATCATTCAACCTTTACAGAAATTCAGAAGAAGAATGAATAGTGAATCGAAAGAATTTCTTCAAAAGTATTGCTGAAGAGGTTACATGGGAGACGGTCCTCTAGCGTAAATTTGCGAAACCTGGTTGCCAGCTAACGCGGACCCTCATTTCAAACCCCCTCAAAAACGCCACTCGGGACAACTACCCCCGTCCACCCTAGTACAGTCGCAAAGTAACCATTTTCACTGATGCCTAGGTGACGAAAAACGAATTCTAACGGCATTTTCTTAAGAACTGAACTCTGACCGATACAGATACACAAAGAGAGAAGACAGGCAACACTTAATTCACATCACCTAAGAATCAACATAAAGACCATCTCTTTCGAACGGTCTACCACCTATCTTTTGTTCAAGAAGAAAGAAAATGAAACGTACCGATGATAAAGCCTCATCGGTTTTACGAGTTGCTTCCGCTTCAACTTTCAAGTGCCAAAACAGAAAATTTGCCACCTTTGGATATCCAGTTGCATATCTGGCAATGAATAGATTATCGAAGTTGCTCCTCAAGTCGCGTACATGAACTAGCTAGAGTCAGAAAAGATAAAAAAGGATAAAAGGATAAAGCATTTGCCGTTGATCAATCCCTTTTTGGGATGCGGCACGCATTCTACTTCCATTTGTACATTCGCAGTGGCATTTGAATGCGATGTGGCCTATACAATGACTTGCGGGGGCCAGCCGATGTTCAAGTCAGTGTTTTTATCCTCCCAGACAAGTCTGGTACCAATTAACCGACCCCGGAGGGATGGAAGGCTTGGTTGGCCCGGGCGACTCACGACCCAGGATTTGATCCCCGGACCGCTCGCGTGGTAAGAGCGCGCACTTGTCACTACACCACTTCCGCCCTATAGGCCAGAAAGGGTTGCGTATATAAAAGTGGGAAAGGCCGTATCGCAGAGCTGCTCATTGAGCTTATTGCAATGCATAGTTCCGCGGTAACTACTCTCCTGGATATCACAAATTTACCCACAGTCACCAATGGCCATATTGACGTCTCACTGCTAGACTCACAATATTTCGTTACAGACGCGCACGGGCGACAGCACGAAGCCCAAACCACTAAACCCAGAGTCCTGTACTCGTGGGTTATGCTAAGTTATTCAGTTTATCAGACCAACTACGACTTTCCGTCAAACACACTTTCCTGTCGGAGAAATAAGGAACTCCATAAAGGTACGCATTAGATTGAGAAAATTGGCGTGGGGAACTGAGCAGGGTTGCCATTGTCTCGCTTGATGAGCAATTCTATTCAAGAAACCGTCAAAAGGACTCACTTGACTAGGAATGACGCTAGATCATCGGTGGTGCGCGCAGCAATCTCGTCCTCTTCGAGCACAACCACCTCTGTCGCTTCCGTCGCCTGCGAATTAGAACACGATTCCATCTGAACTATTTAGGAATCGTCTAACTTACTTTTTGCATCCATGCCTCCTTTCTGAGACGACCGCTCTCCATGGGGACATACGCATGAATGTTTTAGGAAATTGGCTCTCCTTGCGAAACTAGATTCTTTGAGGAACTACGTAGGTTACAGGAAGGAGTCTTGTATTCTTAACTCATGTTACGATTTGTTCCGTCTTCTAAGGACTCTTTAAAGAACGAATCCACGATTAGAAACGAAGGTCGAAGAAAGGAGTAATTCACCTAGTTGAGGGACCCGCGGACCTCCTGAGGGTGCGGAACTGAAGCGCAATTGGCACCGAAGGAGTTGACCTCGGCGACCTATTAGGCTCAATCTTGGCGCGGTGGGCCAGTGCACGCCCACCGATCATCTGATCACTCGCCGCAGGTCTATACGTGGCGAGTGATTAGATAGGTGAGAGAGCGTAGTGTTGAAGAGGGCACAGCGATGAGAGTCGCATCAATGCTCAAATCAACGGGCAAGGGGTCCCATTTCTCGGGTTCTGGGCCGTTTCTCATGGTTCTTCCTTCTTTCGTGTACCACTCACCATTCGCTAGGTTAATTTTGAAATGGGTTGCTTTTTCAACCGAATTATCCTTTCGACTATGAACGCCACAAGCAGGATAAAAAAGGATAAAGCATTTGCCGTTGATCAATCCCTTTTTGGGATGCGGCACGCATTCTACTTCCATTTGTACATTCGCAGTGGCATTTGAATGCGATGTGGCCTATACAATGACTTGCGGGGGCCAGCCGATGTTCAAGTCAGTGTTTTTATCCTCCCAGACAAGTCTGGTACCAATTAACCGACCCCGGAGGGATGGAAGGCTTGGTTGGCCCGGGCGACTCACGACCCAGGATTTGATCCCGGACCGTAATACACTTTGATAAGTCGGTATTATTGAAAGCTGCGCCAGGCGATAGCTGTAAGACTACAGTGTTTCATAGTTAAGACTCCCGAAAAATTGCGAATTGAGGTCCCTCCGTTGCCATCAAGGCGAATATTGTCTAGGAATTCTTCGAATATGGTTCATAATGAATCACGGAACATTAACTCAAATCACCATATACAACTTAGAAGGGCGACGCTGTTGCGTAATGGCTAATCGGGGGTTCTAGGTGAAATGTGACCCAACGCTCACGGCTGACCCTCATATCCTACGCTTTTGGCTCCAGAGAAGCAATAAAATATTGGGAAGAGACTGGATGCCGACCTCAATTTTTAAGTGAAATTTACTACTGATTGAAATACACGACAGAATTTTCCTATGTGGTTTGGGTATTCTTATCAGTCTGAAGAAGTTGAATAAGTGACGACCAAATCGCTGATTTGACACGTTGACGACTGCGCAGGACACATGCACAGTTTTAAACGGATGAACCTATTTTGTATGGTTGTGGTCACCCGTAAGAGGCCATTTCTTTAGCAATGTTTTGAAGCTGCTTATATACATCACCAGCAAAGGAATGTGAACAGTGCGTAGATGCGCACACAACGGCGGCCGTCAACGTGTAACGCCAACTGAGGTTTGTGTCAGACTTCGCAATTGCAATCGCGACGGTGGGGGGGGGGGGGGAAGGCGTACTTCTGGGACTCGCCAGAATGGTTGGTGATTGCACCAGAGCAAAACAACTTAACGGAAATTTGATAACCACAGCACTCTTCTAAATTCTGGTGCCTCCCTAACTCGTGATTTGTGAAACGCGACTTTAGCAATCGGAAGTCTGACACTCATTTGACATTCTCCTTCTCCTCTCGTTAAGAAAAGAACAAAGAGTATTCAAGTAATAGCTGATCAAAGGAATGTCGAAGCCAACAAAGCTAGAATCCAGGTCAATTTTCGCTTATCTATCCTTTTCTAGCTCCCCCCAGCTCTTCCTACATATGGTATCCCTGGCTCAGCACTTCGGCGCCAAATAAAGTTGACTGACCGTAAAATAGCGACAGCAGCAACTAGCTCGCTTTGCATAATATTATAATCTGAATGAAAGCATCCTGTACCTGTTCAACAATAGCAGCATCAGTTGTAGGGAGCGGTTCGTATTTGAGTGCCTGAACCAACTGCGGCAGGTATAGCAATACTTGGTCAAGGAGAAGCCGCGTCGAACAACCTCGACACTGCATAGCACCTTTAAAATAACCAATTTAGAATAGCTGAAAAATTCTTCTGTTGATTCTGGTTGTACCTGACGCTTGGATGAGTGAACGCTGGGGATAGAAGTTCCAGAGCATCTTCGGCTTCAATCGGGGTCCAGTCACTGGAAATGAACGGTTGCTTTCGCTTTGTAATACTGCAATTTTACGCCTACAACGACGGGAGTAACTCACTTCAGTAGGGCGAGTGCATGTTGTTCTTCACCGGGTTGATCCCAATTCACCGAACGGAGAAACTTATTCAAAGCTCGACGATCAGCTTGCAGGAAGAAAGCGGAACTTCCACACCAAATCTCGTTGTTCTCGGGTAAGGGACTGAGATGATGGCAGCTGGAATGTTCACGCTGAGAAAAAAGGATCACACGGCCATATTTAAGAAGATAAGAACATGCTACTTGACCCGTAATAAGGAAATAGCGGAAGTAATTACCCGTATGATGGTCTCAAGACGATCCTTTGTTTGCTTATTTGGTTTCAACTGCTTGTCCATAGCTCCCGCTCGAGCATTTCTTGTCATCACGTTGTGTTTCGTCTCCGCCAGATTTTCCAATCCCAGCTCAGGATCGGATACCCGGAATGTCGCACTCACGCCGCCTCCACCAATCGACGTCACGATTCTCAGCTGAAACCGTAATAAAGAACACGAACTCTCAAATCTCTCTTGCTACACTGAAGCCTACATTCGAGTCCGCAAAATCGCGGCCACAAATAGGCACAAAAAAAAATACGAAGGTAAACATGTTCTCTAGCTGCGGCCTCATAACAAAATTTGTGTAATGGACCAGAACAAATGTTCAGAAACGAGAGGAAAAATTTTATTCTCACGTCTGGAGTTGGATCCTCGTAGTACACCACATCATAATACTGGCCATCGATCGTATTGGATAGACGCCATTTTGAACACAAGGAAAAGGTAGCGTTGAGTCGAAGCGAATTTCCGCTAAAACAAATGAGCTTCAAACAAAAAAAAACTGGATGCGTGATCATCAATAAAACATCGCTGAAAACTAACATTGTTGCGAAGCTCCTCCACCTTTCTGAAGTGAAAAAAAAATAGTCGGACCTAAATTCCGCTGTTGCGTGAAACCTAGAAAGAGAGAATCTAACTTAAATATTTATTGGATTAAATGCGTACGTGATTGATTTAGGTCTTGTGAAGCTCCAGGGTTCGACACTTCCGAAAAACAAGATTATATGGAAAACTGAGAAGCAGCTGGTCTCGAAGGTTAGACCTACGAAACGAAAATTGATGGGAGAAAGCTTACTTCGGTTATGACCAAAGTATAGGCAGAATACGCCAGAATTCTGCAGACAAGACCAGTCATATGTAGCTGCTACTAGGACGCGTGACGACCCTGCTCATAGTGATAAACCAGAGAACCGTCTCACTCTTTCACGGCTCTAGCAAATATGTTCCATTCAGAGAGGAAAGGAACACTTCGAAGTTTCACCACTGACCTGGACATAAACATTTTAAATCCTAAGATTGGGCAAACAAAAAAATGTGTCGAAAAATAGCCCCCTTTTCTAATTCGCATGTACTATAAATTTGCTACAGCTTATGATTTACGAACCTCGCTAATTGCTCTTTGGGCAATTTACATTTGGACACTATACCATTGTTATACCAACCAAACCATCACCGCGATGTACCACCTTCATTGGACGTTTATATTAAAACGCAAGTTATTCAAAGAATTAGTGATCGCGAATAAAAGCCCCAGTGCTACAAAAGAATGATCAGTTCACTGACACCTCGTTGCAACCACTGTACTAGCCTACGGCTTTTATGCGAGGGCGACCTTGCGTTGAATTTACACAAATGATCTCGAAACAGCTTCAAACGGTACCTGTTTTAACAGTTCCCTTAAATGGCTATCATTTGGATCGGGGCACTTCCACTGTTCCGCACATCGATGGAATGGGTCCAACTCTTCCGACAATTCCATCTGAAAACACTCTACCTTCACTAGTACAACGGCACTGAATTCAAATGGCCACAATTGTAAAACTTGAGTTCTAATTGCAGTTAAAGTCACGATCAACCAAGAATGAAAGAGTTGAAATTCGCAATGAAAAGCATACAGCAGACTACTGGACAAAATATGAATTCTAACTGGATTTCTTAAAGGCTTAAAATTTTCAGTACTCTGGAAAATCGGAAAATTGATCACATGACATCATTCATCATCATATAAGTTGAAAATTAGTGTGCAGCACCTGCACCTCCCGAAAGGAGAAAGCAAGACATACTAGACGGATTAGAATTGTGTCGAAACAGCTTACCTGAACATCTAGCGTTCCTGACTTGAGCACTCCTCTCTTACTAAACAATGGTAAGGATGACTGCGCAATGAGTCGCTTTGGCAATGGCTGCGGTACGCCCTCGGTCGAGACTCTCTTCTCCTCGTGTGGAAACAAACTCAGCGATTCTGTTCCAGATGTCAGTTCCCAGATCGAGAAATGTATGAATGCGTCGCGACTGAGATCACAATACCTGTAAAGAGAAATAAATGAACTAGAGCATTCATAGCAGACAATTACTCCACAAACGCCGATATTGCTCAACAAATT